CCTTGCATTCTGTATTTCACATGAGTCTATTGAAGAAGGATCCTGGACCGTCTCCTTGGAGACCAGAGACTACTCCTCCTCCACCTGTCATTTTGGAAGGGGATGAACATTTTGAAATTGCTGATATCCTTGATTGTAAAGTGAAACGTGGTAAACTCTGGTACCTTATCGAATGGGTTGATTTCGGTCCCCAGCACCGCGAATGGGTGGAAGAAGGGGATATTCGGGCCCCTTACCTGATCCGTAGTTTCCACAGAAAGTTCCCGGACAAACCGGGAGGTCTCCCGCCCAGCCCGGGAGATCTCCCGCCCAGGCCGGGAGGTGTGTTGTAAGTGTATTTTAAGGGGGGCAGTATGTCAGCAAGCTGCCATTCTGTTTTCTGTGACCTCTGTGTACATATCCTTTCCCTGTTACACCCGGCTTGGCTTCTATCATCCTGCTCCTGCTTTGGAATGCAAAAGATAACTGCTGGAGGTTGTGTGGGGGAGAAGATGCTGTAATGCTTGCCTATTGATTTCCCAGGACTTCTGCACCTGTGTTTTGTCTGATGTTTTGCCTGGTTCTCATGTACTGGGCGCGCAACCGTTTCCTTAGCCCGCCAGCGGGAAAGATATTCATTGGATCTGTATCTGTTTGAAATTCCTTTAATATGCTTGACCTAACTGTGTATCCCCAGTTCTAACAAAGAACGTGTTTGAGTATGTCTTCAACGCTTTGAAATAAATTTGGCTTTTCTTGAAAACGTGGATTTATTCTCGATGCTTGGGGATCCAACAGAGGGCCAACAAGCAGGCGATGGAGGCTGAGGACTTCCTTTGATGTCGCCCCCTAGCACTGGCATTCACAGGTTCGCTGCTGCTGACTATGGAGGTTCCCCTGGCTACTAGCCATTGATGGAACTCTCCTCCATGAATTTCTGCCTTTGCAGCCTTCACTACATCCTCTGACAGTAAATCCCCCTACTGAATTGTTACTTGGTAGGAATGCACAATGCTGACTAGTGGCAATCCCAGAAAAGAAGGCAAAAACAAGTGTAGTCAACAGACTCACCAATTACCACTTGCCAGAAAGCTGAAGAACATGTAATAGAGAATAATGTATACAACGTAGCTACAGTGAAAAGGTACAAAATGTAAGCAATAGAGAACTGGTATGTGCAACAATGGAGAACTACTAAATAATTCGACGTTGTGTCCGGATGTTTGATTACAACGTTTCAAAGTTCATCCTTCACCAGGGTGTTCTATAATAAAATACATAACTACTTAAGAAAAGGAGAGCCATACAAAGAAATTGCAAGGTCAATGTGTAAATCTAACCAAGAGCTCACCCCTTTAAGCTGCTGTGGTTTTCATACTCTTACTGACATGCACTGGGAGCAGTCTGTGTTAACAGAACATACAAGTCATACAGTGTCAATGTAAATAAGTATAACATTGCTAAAAGCATTTCTTCCAGCTACTCACAACAATTCAATACAAAATCGGACGCCAATCAAGCCAGCCGATAAAGGAGGCGCAACCGTTATACTTAATACTCAGGACTATAAGAATGACAGGCAACTCTCTGACCCTAGATATTACTGTTTATTACTGAGTGATCCTACAGAACGTATCCAGCGACTGATTAGAGTTGTGGCCCAAGAAGCCTTATAATTAAATTACATAGATTCTATACTGGCAGAATTTTTAATAAACAAAAATCCAAGAACTTCAAGATTCCATGTATTATCAAAAATTCATAAATCAGGTTTGCCCCCAAAAGGAAGACCTATATTTGCTTGTTCCTCAGTGTTAGAACCACTAGTAAAATACCTTGACATGTTTCTACAGCCAGTGGTAAAGTGCAGTAGATCTTTTTTAAAAGACACCACTGATTTTATAAGCAAGATAGAGGGTCGAAACACTGAAGCAGGAACAGTACTATTAACTGTGGACGTGGAGTCTTTATACACTAACATCCCATTGGAGGAGGCTAGAATAATTATAGAGCACGAATTAGAACATAGACAGAATCCGAATCCACCGATTTACTTCTTAATGGACCTTTTGGACCTTATTTTTGAAAAAAAAAAAATCTAAATGATGAACAATTCTATCTTCAAACTAGTGGAGTAGCAATGGGTAGCGCTGTGGCACCCTCCATAGCAAATGGACCGGTCCCACTGCAAGTCTGAAGCTATTGAAGCTGATTACATGTTGGAGATTGGCGTCCGATTTTGTATTGAATTGTTGTGAGTAGCTGGAAGAAATGCTTTTAGCAATGTTATACTTATTTACATTGACACTGTATGACTTGTATGTTCGGTTAACACAGACTGCTCCCAGTGCATGTCAGTAAGAATATGAAAACCACAGCAGCTTAAAGGGGTGAGCTGTTGGTTAGATTTACACATTGACCTTGCAATTTCTTTGTATGGCTCTCCTTTTCTTAAGTAGTTATGTATTTTATTATAGAACACCCTGATGAAGGATGAACTTTGAAACGTTGTAATCAAACATCCGGACACAACGTCGAATTATTTAGTAGTTCCCCATTATTGCACATACCAGTTCTCTATTGCTTACATTGTGTACCTTTTCACTGTAGCTACGTTGTATACATTATTCTCTATTACATGTTCTTCAGCTTTTTGGCAAGTGGTAATTGGTGAGTCTGTTAACTACACTTGGTTTTGCCTTCTATTACCATTTTATTATATAATAGTGTAGTGAACATCATTGAATGCAGATAATCCCAGAAAAGAAACATGCCATCATCATTTTGTAGTGACGTGTTTTGCATTTCATGCCAGAATTAAAAAGGCTTGCTAGTTTTTATTTACACTGCGTTTCTCTCCCCAGCAGGGACTCAAAACAGTCGTCACCACCGATTCCCTCTCCTCCATTCTCTCCTCTCAACAACCACCCCGTGAGGTAGGTGAGGCTGAGAGTCTGTGACGGCCCCAGGGCTACCCACGAAGGTTCCATGGCAGAACAGGAATTCGCACCTGCTTCTCCAAGTCCAGCACTCTAACCATGCCGGCTGGCCGTCAGGATCAGCCTAACTCTGCACTCTGCAATATGTTCAGCTTCATATGAAGAGAGCGAAAAGGGTCAAGAGGCTCCTTGTTGGGGGCTTACCAGGATCCGAAATGTTGCCTGCCACGGCTTTCGCATCCATCACCATTGGCGAGATCGTTTTGCTCAGGTCGTCAGAGGCAGCTTTAACCGCTTCACGGAACTTGGGGTCCTCCGAATTTTCTACCTCCTTCTTGGCCACTAACAAAATCCGGTTGGCGCGCCGGGCAATGCTGGTCGCCCCAGCTACAAGCATCTGCGGCTGAATGTTGGCCATGGCGACTTTGCATTTATCCAGGTCTTTCTTAATGGCTTCCTCCGATGCATCCAGCAGTGACTTGGTGTCAATGGCTTCGTCCACCATGCCTGGGGGTAAAAAAGACGAACCAGGTCACCTCCCTTTCTGAATTTGCCCATGGGGAATGGCGACCACATGAACACCAGGAAATCGCCTTATACTGGGGCCCCTTGCAGTCCCTCAAGGTCAGCCTTGTCTACTCAGGCAGGCAGCGGCTCTCCAGGGTCTCAGGCTGAGAGGTCTTTACCATCGGCTACCGCCTGGCCCTTTGGAGATGCTGCCAGGGATTGAAACTGGGACCTTCTGCATGCAAAGCAGAAGCTCTGCCACTGAGCCACAACGGTCATGCCTGCCCTCGACCCAGCGCCTGGGAGCTCTGAAACTGAGGACTCCGTGCCTTTAACACCATTGGAGGCACGGGAGTCCTTGCCAAACCTAAGTACCGAAGAGGATGAGCACCAGCCTCCAGAACAGCCTGCACCTGAAACCGATCAGGTGATGCCTGGCCCCAGCAGCACGCCACCCGATTCTCCGCCACCTATCTGAGGGACCGGAGACACCGGGACTTGGCAACCAGACGCAAGGAGGCACACTTGCACGGTCAGAGATCAATAAGCCTGGAGTTCTAGCGGGATCAAGGACTTCGCGAGGCAGTGCTAATGAGGCACTAATGAATTAACAACCCAGTGAGCTATTTGAATAGGTCGCTGACTGCTGGCAAACTCGTCCTTCGGACCAGAAGCTCTGCACCTCGGACTCTGTTCCTGTTATCCGGCTACTGACTGATTTCCTGGTTCCTGACTCCAGTCCACGTTTTGACAACCCCCTGGCTCTTGATCCTCGGCTCTGCACCCTGACTTCGAGGCTTGCTTATCTGGACTCTGACGCTCGGTAACGCTCTGGCTACGGCTTACCTTTGTGTATTGCGACTTTTGCTCGGGTTATTTTGCCCTCGCTCTGGCTTGACTCTCGGACTGGACTGTGAACTCCCCCTCTCTGCCTTGCCCCACTGGCCCTGTCATGACAACAACCCCAGCCCCCCTTGAGAACCAAATCATCCACCGTGTTCAGTGACAGGGCCGTTCAGGTCCTGCAGAATTTGGCTGGGCTTCAGGCGCAGAATTTTAAACTACTGAGAATTTCCACTCATCCCACTGATCAATCTGCTTTAGCCACCAAGTTATTACTGGGTTCAGGTTTTCATTTGAATTATCTTTCTCCCCCTAAGTTAGGAAAGTATGCTCATAATGCAGTGAAGTGGGGAACTAGAATTCTCTCAAGCTAGAGTCACGGAAAAGAATCCCAACTGCCATAACTCAACGGGAACACAGAACACGCAAAAGCCGACGCTGTCTTTCTTCTCTTAATGGCCTCTGAGAGAAAATATAAGGATACCCAGGAAGGGCCAGAAAGCCCGGGTCCTGGTCTTCTTGTGTTCCCAGTAAGGTAAGTAGACTTCTACAAGGAGAACCACATAAATACGAAGGGTTTTTAAAGGGGGATTATATATAATAATTTTTTTTAAAAAGCAATTATGAAGGCAGAATGCCAGCAGGGGTTTGGGAGCTATCCAGTGTTTTGCACGGAGTGTCACATATGTGACTGTCTGCCCACTGGACAGAAGTCTTGGGTGTGTGCCCGGTGCAAGGAGCTCCTGGTTCTCAGGGAACGAGTTTGCACCCTAGAGGCCAAGGTGGCTGACCTGGAGAAGCAGAGACAGTCAGTTAGGCGCATGAAGACTCTCTGGGACTTGTTAGATATGTCCCACTCTGAAAATGGCAGCCCTGCTGCTGTTAGGGAGCATGAGGGTCAAGAGGAAACAGGGCACCGTACAGGGGATAAAGGGAATGTGCCCTCAGAAGGGACCTCTTCTTCAGCTGGTGAGCGGGTATCCTTTCGCACCAAGGAACCATACCTGGGCAGGGTGGGAGGGGGGCTCTTGGTAGTTGGGTGATTCGATCCTTAGGCAGGTAGACAGCTGGGTGGCGAACCTGCGTACTGACCGTATGGTGACTTGCCTGCCTGGTGCGAAGGTAGCGGACATTACGCGTGTTTTAGATAGGCTGGTAGATAGTGCTGGGGAGGAGCCAGTGGTCGTGGTGCATGTCGGCACCAACGATGTGGGGAAATGCAGTCGTGAGGTCCTGGAGGAGAAATTTAGGATGCTGGGCAGGAAACTTAGGTCCAGGACCTCCAAGGTAGCCTTCTCAGAAGTGCTACCTGTTCCACGCGCAGGGCCGGAGAGACAGGCAGAGATCAGGAGTCTCAATGCGTGGATGAGACGATGGTGTAGGGGGGAAGGGTTCAGGTTTGTTAGGCACTGGGATACTTTTTGGAACAAGAGGGAGCTGTACAGGCGAGACAGTCTCCACTTGTCCCGAGAAGGAACCAGGCTGCTGGCACTTAAAATCAAAAAGGTGGCAGAGCAGCTTTTAAACTGAATATTGGGGGAAAGCCGACAGGAGATGAAAAGTCTCTGGTTCGGGTTGGCTCATCTGAGAGAGGTGAGGGGGTACCGGTTGCTTTTCTACAGGGAGGTGGATTGAAATTGTCCACAGAGGCCATGGCTGGTGACATGGACTGCCGGACAACGACTCGAGATAGCAAGAGGAAGGATGCAGGCTTAACTTGTAAGGGAAATTACAGCTGTTTCTATACAAATGCTAGAAGTGTCCGAGGTAAAATCGGGGAGTTGGAGTGCTTGGTGTCGGAGGGAAAAATAGACATTGTGGGTATTTCTGAAACTTGGTGGGATGAGGAAAATCAGTGGGACACAGTGATTCCCGGTTATATATTATATCGGAAGGATAGGGGGGGAAGGGTTGGAGGTGGGGTAGCTCTGTATGTCAGAGAGGGTATAAAGTCTAGAAAGATTGAGAGGCTAAGTGAATTGGATTCGCTTCTGGAAGTTCTATGGGTTGAAATAGGGGGGCCAAAAGGAAACTTAACACTGGGAGTTTGTTATCGCCCACCAGATCAAAAGATAGAGGAGGATTATAAAATGATGAATGCCTTAAAGATAGCAACTAGACAAAAACACTGTGTAATAATAGGTGATTTTAACTACCCACACATTGATTGGGTCAATATGTGTTCTAGCCGGGAAAAAGAGATTGAGTTTCTAGACACTCTAAATGACTGTGCTATGGAGCAGATGGTCACGGAACCTACCAGGGGAGAGGCGATCCTTGATTTGGTCCTAAGTAACACTCAAGACCTGGTGAGAGATGTAAAAGTGATTGCACCGCTTGGAAACAGTGATCATAATGTTGTTGAGTTCATCATTTGTACAAATAGAGAATTGGCCAAAAAGACTCACACAACCATTTTTAACTTTAAAAGGGGTAATTTCTCTGATATGAGGGGACACGTGGGGAGGAAACTGAAAGGAAAAGTAGAAAGGGTCAAAACAATTGGGGAAGCTTGGGATCTATTTAAAACTACGATCCTAGAAGCTCAAAAAATATATATTCCGCAGGTTAGGAAAGGCACAAACAGGTATAGGAAAAAGCCTGCATGGTTAACAAACAGAGTAATGGAGGCTGTAAAAAGTAAAAAGAATTCCTTTAAGCAGTGGAAAGCTAGTCACAGTGAGGCTGATAAAACGGAACACAGGCTATGGCAAATAAAATGCAAGTCTGAGGTCAGGCAGGCAAAAAGGGAATATGAGGAGCATATAGCAAAAAACGTAAAAACCAACAATAAAACTTTCTTCAAATACATTAGAAACAGGAAACCAGCCAGGGAGGCAGTGGGGCCCTTGGACGACCAAGGGGTAAAAGGAGTATTGAAGGATGATAGGGAAATGGCTGAGAAGCTAAATGCATTTTTTGCCTCCGTCTTCACTGTGGAAGATGAGAAGTGCTTGCCCACTCCAGAACCACTGATTTCAGGAGGGGTGTTGAAAGACCTGAGTCAGATTGAGGTGACGAGAGAGGAGGTCCTAAAACTGATAGACAACTTAAAAACTGAAAAATCACCAGGCCCAGATGGCATACATCCGAGAGTTCTGAAAGAACTCAAATGTGAACTTGTAGATCTCCTGACAAAGATATGTAATCTTTCCTTAAAATCTGCCTCCATTCCTGAGGATTGGAAGGTAGCTAATGTCACTCCCATCTTTAAAAAGGGTTCCAGAGGAGATCCGGGAAATTACAGGCCAGTCAGTCTGACGTCGATACCGGGTAAATTGGTGGAAACCATTATTAAGGAAAGAATTAGTAGGCACATAGATGAACAAAACCTATTGAGGCAGACTCAGCACGGTTTCTGTAAGGGAAGATCTTGTCTCACTAACCTGTTAGTGTTCTTTGAGGGGGTGAACAAACATGTGGACAAGGGGGATCCAATAGATATTATTTACCTTGACTTCCAGAAAGCTTTTGATAAAGTTCCTCATCAAAGGCTCCTAAGTAAGCTCAAAAATCATGGGATAGAAGGACAAGTCCTTTTATGGATCAAAAACTGGCTAGTTCATAGAAAACAGAGAGTGAGTGTAGGTGGGCAATTTATACACGTTGATGGGGTCCGAACTGGCAGAGACTGACCAAGAGAGAGATCTTGGAGTCGTAGTAGATAACTCACTGAAAATGTCAAGACAGTAAGCAACTGCAATAAAAAAGGCCAACGCTATGCTGAGGATTATTAGGAAGGGAACTGGAAACAAATCAGCCAGTATCATCATGCCCCTATATAAATCGATGGTGCGACCTCATTTGGAGTTCTGGTCACCGCACCTCAAAAAGGATATTATAGCATTGGAAAAAGTGCAGAAAATGGCAACTAGAATGATAAAATGGTGGGAACACTTTCCCTATGAAGAAAGGCTAAAATGCTTGGGGCTCTTTCGATTGGAGAAACGATGGCTGAGGGGTGACATGATCGAGGTTTATAAGACTATGCATGGGATAGAGCAGGTCGAGAAAGAGGTACTTTTCTCCCTTTCTCATAATACAAGAACTTGTGGGCACTCAATGGAATTGCTGAGCAGTCAGGTTAGAACAGAAAAAAGGAAGTACTTCTTCACCCGAAGAGTGATTAACACATGGAATTCACTGCCACAGGAAGTGGTAGCTACAAGCATGGTCAGCTACAAAAGGGGATTAGAAAAACACATGGAGCAGAGGTCCATCAGTGGCTATTAGCCACAAGGTATAGATAGGGCCTTGATTCAATTCCCCCCTACCCCACCTCCAAGGTCACAACACCAGCTTAGCAGCCCATGCCCACGTGCCTGCCAGCTCTTCTGTGTGGTGGGCCACAAGAGGGACTCAGCTCCTCATTGGCATCTCCCTCTTTCGCCTTCTCTGTCCCCCACTACTTCTTCCTGGCCAAGCATCTCTTCTGGGGGACAGGCGGGAACGTATCTACACAGCAGACACTGCTGGTCCTGGCTCCCCCAATGCCACACTCCCTCCACAGCTTGCTTCATCCTGTAGTCCGGTGGTTTTACACACACACGTACACGCAGGCACATCAGCCTCTGGGTGGGCCCATCCTGCTATGAGCTGCCAAAAGAGTGAGGCAGCACCCAACACTCTCCAAATACAGATGCCGTTCTACAGGTGCCCGCAAGCTGGCTGAGAGTTATAAACCAATCATTGAAGGGCAACACTTTGATGCAACCACTGTCGAAACGACAAACATGGATGGGGGGAGAGGTCCTGAGTGGATGCCTCTAATGTCATGGTCCAGTGGCCTTCGATGCTAAGCCCACCTGAGCCTTGGAAGCATCTCTCTCTCACCCTAGGTTTCACACTGATCACTTAGCAAACAAGTAGGGATTTCTCCTGCTACCTTGCAAGGAATCAGCTACAAGCAGTAGAATATTATGCACCCTCAATAATACTTAAGACCATTTTGTGTTGTGCACAGGTCAGGCCACAGAGGAGCTTGCAAACCACCCCCAAGTACAGAAGCCTCCAAGAGCCTGTAGCAGCTACCAGCTCTAACACTTCCTGTTAGAGCTCCTTGCTCTGCTCCCCAAAGATATTGGGGGGGGGGGGTTTACTGGTAAGAGCGAGGAAAGAACAGAAGGTGGCAGCAGCACAACTCAGCACGACAGCAAGAGGGCTCTTTAACTGGCTGCAGAAATCACCAACACTGGCAACTGCTACAACCAACTGGAGGCGGCTTCATCTGTGTGAACTGGCCCTCAGGCACACATTTTCAGGGATCAAGGCAATTTGTTCCTGCTGTTGGTCAGCTAAGACATATCACCACTCAGTTTATCTTGAATGATTTCTCTCCCATATTTTCAGACTGTAAATTGGCCTTTGACATTTCTCTGCTCTTCTGCCTTGCAGGCAAGCCTTTTCAAGGTTGTCAATCTCCCCCCCCCCCCTCCATATTCTACAATTCAATCAAGGTCTTTCCCTCACTTCGGCTGTGATCATATGCACAATTAGACCCAGCATAGGTTTGAATGCCAGGCAGATTTAAATGGCACGATCAGACAACAACAACCGGGAAGCGCTCCACAGTTGCCGGCAACCCCTTCTGCTCTGCCGCAGAAGTGGAGTTAAAAGCGGTGGCACAGGGGATTTATCCTCTGGTTAACAGCTGAACTGAACAGGGCTGCTGTCAGTTCAAGCCCCGCACTGGTGTGAGCTGCCAGCTCGCCGTCCACCCAGTGGTTCGAAAGCTTCGGCGAGTAGATAAAATGGGTACCACTCCTTAGAGAGGGTGGGCACACAAAGCCCCCCCCGGGGGGTTGTGTTAGCCAATCGGATGGTCTGCGCATAAGATCCGTAAGCCGGAAAAAGAACTACGCCGCAAGAAAGAGCCTGCAATTGGCCACTCGGCCAGACGGTGGCAGTGGTGCGCTGCGACTGAGACAATGCTGACGACATCAAGCATCGCCGAGGGAAGGAATGCGGCTGGAACACGCCTGGACCTTGCTGCTGACTATCTCCGTTGACTACGATAAAAACGTGTGTGATTTAATTGATATATGTTGTCTTCCCTTACCCCCAAGCATTGTTAGTCCCATGTGATATTCATTAAATAAATAAATATAAAAAAGACACCGGGGAAAACCCAATAATAAATGGGTTGTGACAGGCCACTGATGGACTTTCCCGTGTCTGATTGCTCCAGCGCGCTCACATGGCACAGACCATCCCGACTCCGTGTGGTTGTTTCCCCCCCCTCGCAGTATGTGCATCATCGCAAACTCCATAGGGAGCCCTCAGTGCGGAGGTGCAATTCATCGATCCCTCATTTAAGCGCATGGGGAACAAAACTCCCCGACCCACCTGCAGTTGCGTCTGATCACCCACGGACGGGCTGCGCCCACAGCTTCAAAGGGGGTGTGTGATCGTGCAACTGCGGGTCAGATTCCTCCGGGAGAGACAGCCTGGCTTCTCCCCCGTTTTTCCTGGCACGTGCGACCGCAGCCTCCCACTCCTTCGGTAATATTATGATTTGAAGCTACAAAATCTGCCCCATCCCTTCCTCTGTACCTGTCATTTTCTCTACGTTGTCAATCCACTGGTTCTTCATGGTCTCAAAGTGTTCATAAGCAGCTTGATTCCCCGGGTTTCTTAGGAGAATGCGAGCAGCGGATATGACCTACCAATATAAAAACATTCCGCACTAAGACAACATCTCTGCAGTATTGTTTCACAGTGCGTTTTGGAGGTCTGATCGTCGGGAACTTGTGTAACTTTTCATTTTATGTGGGCATCACTGCATTTTCCCCTCAGGAAGTTTCCAACTGCAAGAGGGACTTCAAGAGCTCAAGGAGGCTTTAGTATAGTTGGGATCCCGGAAAGGCCCTTGTTCATCAGGAAAACTTGACGGAGGATTCTGCAGCTCTGCTGCATCCCCTTTGCGGCCCTTCAGAACACCATCTGGATTCCAGATGGCACCGCCTCACTCAGGACATTGTGCCAGACCCAGTGTGAGCTGAGAGCCCTCCACCCCAATACTGTTTTATATTTATTCATTATGCACATTATTTTGATACTGTTGTTATTTGTTGTTAGCCAGTAAGTCGTGTCCGACTCTTGGCAAACCACACAGCATATCAACTTTCAAGGTAATACAAAAAAGAAAATCACTTAATTTCAAAAACAACAATAAAACCCATTAAAACCTCCACCTAGAATAGCATTAAAACAACAAACAATCAAAAGCAGCAGATTGTTTGTTGTTTTAATGCTATTCTAGGTGGAGGTTTTAATGGGTTTTACTGTTGTTTTTGAAATTATTAAGTGATTTTCTTTTCAAAAGACAGAATACCTTAGAAACAATTTCTCAGTTTAGCAGCAAAGAAAAGACAGTTTTACTCAAGACCACTGAAAACAGGCCAGCCTGATAAACACACCCATTGCACACAAACACTCACAGCCATTGCCAAACCCCCAGATAAATCAAAATGTTTGTGTGGTACTTTCAGTTCAGTGAGTTCCTTTGAGCCTTTTTTTTTTTTTGGCTGAAAAGTAGCAAACAGAATGACTATTTACTTTAAAGAACAAAGCGAGTCCAGTTGGGCACCTTTAAGACCAACAAAGTTTTATTCAGGGTATAAGCTTTTGTATGCACGCAGGTGCCTCTCCACATGTGTGTGTGCACACAAAAGTTTAGACCTGGTGTGAAGAAATGCTTTTTCCTAGGAGATCTGAAATGACCCAAAATTCCACATTGCATTTTAGCAGTTTTTTCTCCCTCTGGGCAGAGACGGGGGGGGGGGGGGGGGG